GGATTGTAGGCCTCAAGGGTCGCATTAAAAGCCGAGGTGTGAAAATGAGAGAGAAAAATGCACGAAATTGCAGTCAATTTAATGTCATCCTTTACGTCGTTCTTCTAATGCCACACATGCAATGAAAAAAAAAGGAAGTAAGAAGTGAACCATAAATTATACTTAAAATCGTGAAGACTTTCAATAGGGCAAATTAGTGGATCAACCGTGTAAACGCGTGATCATAATGAATAAGACACTGGAAAACCATGAAGAGAATTTAATTTATTGAATGAAAGGCAAAGGAGTGAGTGTATGAACGTATGCGCGCTTGCATTATAATTACCCTCAAGTTCCCACAAAGCCAAGGCACCGTTGGGCATGGTAAAGTTGATCTGCTGCCCTGGCACCGCCCCGGTGGGGACCGAGACCTTCCGTCAAAAGTGGGGTTGAGGTTTGACAGAGGCTTGGTACCCCGAAACCCTAAACCCTAAACCCTCAAACCTACACTCTCAACCCTAAAGATTGGGTGGCTCTTAGGATTTAGGGTTTAGGGCTCCCGGAGCCCAAAATCATGGATTCCTGACTTCACCGCGTCCCTACTAAAAAGCAGAAAGCCACACCAAGCCCACACAATCCAAACACACCCTAAACTTTCACCCTCGAACCCAATATCCTAAATCCACAAACTACGAACCAAAGCCCAAAAGCCCAAAGCCACGCAAACCCTTTTCAATTCCCTTTCCCTTTCCCCTACAAAGCTGAAACCCACCGCCCGAAACCCTTAAACCCTAACCCCCAAACCACGAAAGAACCTACCTCCTCCCCTCCAAAAAGATCATAGAAGACCCTAAGCCCTAAGCCCTAAGCCCTAAACCCTAAACCCTAATCCCTAAACCCTAAACCCACACAAAATACCATTGCCTTGACCAGCGTCGATGGCTGGCCAACCACCTCGACCTGCTGAGGTCCGGGGACCTGCGCCGGCGGCGAACAAGTGGATTCGGGCAGGGTTTAGGGTTGAGGGTGTAGTTTAGGGTTTAGAGTTTTGTGGCCTTTATGGGGCTTATGGCTCCTTAGGGCAAAAAAAGTGCTCCGAAGGGCCCCCTCTGGGGGGCTTGGAAGGGCCGGTGGTTTATTCGGTGTTTCGGGTTTCAAGGCTCTGAGGGTTTAGGACGATCAGGTTTGGGGCGTCAAGCTTGGGGTTCAAGGTTCAGGGCTTTCGGGTTTGAGGGTTGGAGGGTGTAGGCTCTAGGCTTCAGGCTTTGGGGTTATTATTAGGGATAAACGTTTGACGGTTGAGGGGCTTACGCGTTTTCGATTGAAGCCTTAAACCCTACAACTTAAACCCCCAACCCGCAACCCGAAACGCCTGGAAAACCATCAACCCCGAACCCTAACGGGGAAACTCCAACTCCACATGAGTTAATTCAAGCTTTAACACGTACACAAAAAAGGGGTTGTCCCTATAAGAATCCCAAAAGTGCTACAGCTTTAACACGTACACAAGAAAGGGTTATCCCTATAAAAATCCCACAAAAGTGCTACAATCCCAATAAGAGGGACGCATTTGCGGTTTGAGGGCCTAGGGGTTAGGGCGTCAAGATTGAAAGCTTCCAAACACACGAGGTCCTCTTCGCAGCCCCTACAATGCAATGCTTAAAAGGGTTAGGGTCTAGGGTTTAGGGTTTAGGGTTTAGTTTAGGGTTTAGGGTTTAGGGTTTAGGGTTTAGGGTTTAGGGCTTAGGGCTTAGGGCTTAGGGCTTAGGGCTAGGGTTTAGGGTTTAGGGTTTAGGGTTTAGGGTTTAGGGTTTAGGGTTTAGGGTTTAGGGTTTAGGGCTTAGGGCTTAGGGTTTAGGGTTTAGGGTTTAGGGTTTAGGGTTTAGGGTTTAGGGTTTAGGGCTTAGGGTTTAGGGTTTAGGGTTTAGGGTTTAGGGTTTAGGGCCCTGTGCGTCGGGAACGCCTCAGGTCACCAGTTATCCCCTCCAGGCCCCTGAGAACGCAACCCGCAAACCCTAAGCCCTCAAACGCTCAACACCTCGACCCTGAACCTTACTCCTAAACTGGCCCTAAACCCTCAACCCCTTAAACCCTGAACCCTCAAACACTCAAACCCTAAATTGGCCATAAACCCTCAACCCTTCAAACCCCTACCCTCAAAACCCCCCAAGCCACCAGCCTGATTGGGGGAGACTGCACCTGGCATCTTCTAAGCAATCCCTCAAACTATGAAAAGCCTTTTGCTAGCAGGGGTTTAAGGATTAGGGGTGTAGGGTTGAGGGTTGAGGGATTGAGGGGTTGAGGGGTTCAGGGGTTCAGGGGTTCAGGGGTTCAGGGGTTCAGGGGTTCAGGGGTTCAGGGGTTCAGGGGTTCAGGGGTTCAGGGGTTCAGGGAGGTGTTGAGGTGTTGAGGGGTTCAGAGAGTGAGGGGTTGAGGGGTTGAGGGGTTCAGGGGTTGAGGGGTTGAGGGGTTGAGGAGTTGGGTGGTTTAGGGGCTTATGTGGTTTACATGAGGTTGATGGGTTTCGGGGTTCGTGAGCTTAGAGTTTTAGAAGTTTTTGTTTGTCTTTCCTTCTTCGTGGATCGGTTTGTGGTTTGATCTAAGTACCTGGACCTTTTTGGTATTAGATGTTTCCTAGGGCTTTGGGTAACCAAAAAGGTTCAGCATTCTTGATCAAGATCCGACTAGCCCAAATAAGCCTTCTGTGCTGGGTAGAGGGTGGCAGAGGTATGGGATAAAGGTTCGGGGAAACTTGCAGACTACAACAGGGTCCAGCAGCTTCCTGGACCGACGTGAGATGGTAAACGAGATGTTGTGGAGTCGGGTCATTTGACCAAGCTTAGAGCGCTGGCTAATGTCCATACCCCGTTGCCACACAAGGTCGCCATGAAGACTTGCAACGTATCCGAAAACACTACTTGGAGGTTCTTGGTACTTACAACCCAATTATAACTGAACTTATATCCCCCACTCATAAGCCCTTTAAGTGCCCTAATATGGCTAGAATTGGGTTACAAGTACAGTCATAATTGGGGTACTAAGTACCATGAACCTTCAAGTAGGTTTTGTAAAGAACACCGGAAGGCTCCAAAGTCCTGGCCCCTGCGCCACGCCACCTTCTGGCGACATCATCTTCTCGTCTAAAGCCGCGTTACCTGGGCCAAACTGTGGCACTGCGTACAAAGACCAGAGACCCTACTAGGGTTTAGGGTCTAGGGTTTAGGGTTTTGGGTTTTAGGGTTTAGGGTTTAGGGATTAAGGTTTAGGGTTTAGGGTTCAAACAAACGAGAACCCAGGCTTGAAAGTAGCTGCAGCTCGGCTTCGCCCAAGTAGGGTGTGGTTTTGGCTTTGGAGGCCCCAGCCAACCCTCTTCCCGAAGCCTTTGAGGAATTTTACTTAAAAGACATGGGGTGCCCTAAACCCTAAACCCTAAACCCTAAACCCTAAACCCTAAACCCTAAACCCTAGAAATCCTCTACCATGTCAAGCCGCCCTCCCATTCTGCGACACCAACCCCGCGGGGACACGCCACCGCCAAGACGCTTTGGGGTGCCCTTCCGAGCCCTAAACCCTAAACCCTAAACCCTAAACCCTAAACCCTAAACCCTCAAGGTGCTGAGCCCCTTGCAGCAGATACTGGCGTGGCCTAAAAAAGGATCTGGGCTAGCGAGCCAAAGTCGCGAAAATTGCCAGCACTCTGACGTAGCGCAAGATCCACATGTTCCCCCTTATGCTAACAAGTCCTTAATAGGGATGATAGTACCCCCTGTTATAATCCCTCGTAAGGGCTGTGTTTTAAGGGGGACCGTCCCAAAGAACAACCCTCAACACCTGGGTTGTGGTGGTGTTGGGCTTGAAAAACCTCCTGAAGCCCCCACTAGCATGAGAAGCCGCTCACAGGTTCCTAAAGAACTCACACTCCATGTAGCCCGCAAACGAATGGTCCAGTAGAGCTCTGCATGAAGGGATCAAACTTGCTTCCCAAACTAACATCCTATGAACTAATCTGTTGGGATTGTTAGAACCCTTGAAACAGCAAGAACAATGGTCGTCATATTGCCCTAGGGCTTCATACAGGCAAACTGCACCCTGAGCCCCAAAACGCCAAAAACCCCCCAAAAAGGTGATTTCTAAGAAGAAGATGAGGGGTAGTTCCCAAAATGTGTTGTTATAGGAAGTCCGAACAGGGCACCCCTTATTTTTGGAAGCCCCCATGGAGGTGTGGTGGTGTGGGAGCCCTCTAAACTCTTCACCTGACCTTAAACGGGTCTATGGAAGCCACGGACACACACACCCTGTATGCCCTAAACCCTAAAACCCGAATGGGTTTAGGGCTTAGGGCTTAGGGTTTGGGATTTGGGGTTTAGGGGTCGACGGGTCAAGGAGTCGAAGGATTTAGGGGTTTAGGGCTTGGGCAGCAAACCCTACATAAGCCCGGGCGCGAAACTGATCAGAGGCTTTTCGGGAACTTTCTCAGGCGTTTAAGAACAACGCTGGGGAGGATTTAGGGTGTCGGGTTTAGGGCTTAGGGTTTAGGGTTTCGGGTTGAAGAACGGGGGAGGGGGCTTGTTACCCCGTTGAAGAAGACAGTGAGACTTGACGGGGTGCACATCGTACTGCCCAGGCTCAGCAGTCCCTGCGGGATGCATGCAGCTTCGGCGCTGATCTCTTAAAGATGCTGCTGGACATCAGCATGGATGATTTGCTGCTTTGCGAGGTTGGATCGCAGATCTAGTCCCATATGAACCCGGGAACCCAAAGCGACCCCGAATGTCGGGAACCTTGATCAACACTACGTCCAGCTAAAGGTGCATCCCCGTCACCCCACTAGGCGGCGCTGGGGCCGTGTTCGAGAAGATGATAAAGAAATGTGACGTAGCATTTGGGATGTTCCCCCTTATACAAACAGTCCTTGATAAGGATTATGGTGCCCCCCCCCCTATTCCAGTGGGGGGGAACATCCCAACGTAACATGTGTGATGTCACTATGTGAAATCGCATCACGTAGTTTTATATTACAATCACGGGGCAAGCAGCTCGGGCTCGTTCGTGCCAGATGTCGCTGCCTTCTCCATGAGGCCACTGAATTGACCCACAATGATATCCTTCAGCGCCCATTCCTGTAAGCAGTTCGTCCTGTCGTTGACCTGCTCCTCTTGGCCCTGCAGTGCTTGGAGGATTGCAATCTTATCTTCAACCACGCTGGCTGTTGCGTCCAGCACGTTCATCTTGTGTCTCTCGCAGAAGTTGTCAATCCCCTTGACCCACTCGTGCTCGGGGTGCACCAAGATCTCCTGAACTGCGTCCCTCCATTTGGTTGGCAAGCCTAGACAACGGACCAGCTTTCCTTGCTCCAGCGCTACGAACGCCTCATACACACACCAGACACGCGAGTACAGGTTGATGCGGTCATTGAAAATGACAGCGACCTCGCTGACGGATTGCAGCACGCGAGCAAAAGGACTGTCAGAAGGACTGGCAATCGCCCCCGAGATGTCCTCCGCCGTCATATTCTGGTTGACGCCAAAGGTGCCTTAGTTGTCGAGTATCCTTGGGGAACTAAAGGTTAACCTTTGGGATGATAAAAGGAACAGATACCCCAAAAAGGTTGAAGGTTACCTAGTCTACTACTAAGGTGCAGATCCAGGCGTAATCGTCCAGGGACAGCGGCTGCTGCATGCCGATGCCCGTTTCAAGCACGGCAAGGAAGTACAGGAAACTCTCAGCCCAGGCGTGGGAGATGAAGACCGTGGCCTTGCGCCCTCCTCTAGGTATCGATTTGGGATCATTTCTTAAATTACCCTTATTTATTTGAAAAAATGGAGCCCTAATTATGAATTGTTTTTGGGGAGTCCTTCCCTGCGGTTGTACAGCAGTGCCAGGCTGATGTCGAGGCCACGGGTCAGCGGCTTGACATAGGACAAGTTGACCTGGTACATGTCAGGATCGAAGGTCCCGGCAGTGTCGCGGAAGATGACCCAATGTGCCTTACCATCCACACTGCGCTCACTCAGTGCTTCCTGGCAGAAGAGGCTGAAGTCAATGCCATATGCCCTCCAACCAACCTCCACGCCGAGCGCCTTTGCCTGACAGGCTCTTATGCAGGAAGCACAGGGTGCTTAGACAGCCCAGGGTACCCTTTTAAAGGAGACGGTGTCGGGTCCAGAGTTTAAGGTCTGGGGTCTAGGGTCTAGGGTTTAGGGTTTAAGGTTCTTCTCCACTATATGTCTGGGGTTTAGGGTTTAGGGTTTAGGGTAAGTTTAGGGTTTAGGGTTTCGGGTTTAGGGTTTAGGGTTCTTCTCCACTTTTGGACCCGACAAGGTTGCCTTGTCTCCCACTTTGCTGACCACGGCGTCGTCCACCTCAAAGTCCATGGCGCCAGGGTCGAAATACACAAATCGCTGCCGGCCTGCACTCAGTACCCTTACCTTTCCATCGAAGAAGCGCTGAGAACGCCACCCCTAAGCCCACAAGAAGCCCAGGAGAGAAAGAACTTCAGAGTCCCAAAACCCTGACCCTTCAGGGGTTAGAGTTTACCTATCATAGGGTTCAAAGAACCCTTTGGAGGTTGAGGGCTTAGGGTTGAGGCCTACTGTAGGGTTTTAGGGCGTTACGGCGGGGGGGGGGGGGTGTGCAGGCGATAAGGCTTTTTCTTTTCACCCGGCCTTCGAAGAAGCCCTCCTGGCGCATCCTGGCCTTAGTTGCCCAGTCGCCAAGGATACCTAAACCCCAAACCCTAAACCCCAAACCCTAAACCCCAAACCCTAAACCCTAAACCCCAAACCCTAAACCCTAAACCCCAAACCCTAAACCCTAAACCCTAAACTTGTAAGGGCCACCCAGGCGGCCCTGAGATGCTGAAGCTGCCTCAGCGAGATGGCCCAGCTGCTGGGGTCCTCGGGCATGGAGGCTGGGCCTTCCTGCTGCAACTCCTGGCGTTTAAGGGGGCTTGGGGGATTAGGGCTTAGGGTTTGGGGTTTGGGGTTTAGGGTTTAGGGTTTGGGGTTGGGGTTTAGGGTTTAGGGTTTGGGGCTTGGGGGATTAGGGTTTAGGGTTTGGGGTTTGGGGTTTGGGGTTTAGGGTTTGGGGCTTGGGGATTAGGGTTTAGGGTTTGGGGTTTGGGGTTTGGGGTTTAGGGTTTGGGGTTTGGGGTTTAGGGTTTAGGGTTTGGGGTTTGAGGTTTGGGGTTTAGGGCTTCGGGTCTAGGGTTTGGGGTTTAGGGTTTGGGGTTAAGGGTTCGGGGTTTGGAGGGGTTTGGGGTTTGATTAGGGGTTTTGGGGGTATACCAGACCAGAAGACTTCCAGGGTTGTCCAAGCTGCGCACTGCGTAGGAAAGCCCCAACCAAAAAAAACAAAAACATATCCAAAAACAATAAACCCCAGACCTGGATCCCACCTAAAACCCAGCAAATCCTGAACCCTAAACCCGAAATTTGAAAACCGGAGAGAGAGAGAGAGAGAAAAAAAAAAAAAAAACAAAGAAAGAAAGAAAGATAGATCAAAAAAACGACGCCTGAAGCCTAAACCCTAAAGCCTAAAGCCCTCAAACCCCAAACCCCGTAAACCTCTAAGTCCCAAGTCCTCCAGGTCGATTGTCCTCGCGCACTTCCTGGGCTGCTCTCCAGAAGAACCCTCTGTCACAGATTCTCCTAAACCCTGAAACCCTAAAACCCTAAAACCCTAAGACCCTAAAACCCTAAAACCCTAAACCCTAAAACCCTAAACCCCTGAACCCTGAACCTTTACACAAATATGAACCTCCATAAGCCCAAATTAAAAAAAAAAAAAAAAAAAAAAAAAAAAAAAAAAAAAAAAAAAAAAAAAAAAAAAAAAAAAACAAAAAAAAAAAAAACTAAAGTCCTACCCAGCTGCTCGTCCACGCTCGCCGGGTTCAAGAGCTTCAAGGCGAAACCTGGTTCAGGCTTTAGGGTTTAGGGTTGAGGGTTTGGGGTGTAGAGTTTGGGGCTTAGGGCTTGGGGCTTAGGTTTAGAGTTTAGGTTCCTAGAAGCTCAAGGGTTTTCAGGGGTTTATAGGGGTTTGTAGGTTGTTTAAAGAGCTCGCAGGATATGTTAAGGGTTCAGTGCGTGCTTAGGGTCAAGTGTCGTTCAATGGTATAGGGCTTAGGGTTAGTTGTGGAGTTTAGGGATTAGGGGTTTGGGTTCAGGGACTGGGATTTAGGGAGCTTCAATGCGAAACCTGCACCGACGGAGCTCTCATCCGTCATCGCAGGTGTCGAGGCGTAGGAGAATCGCTTGGGGCCATCGAACCAGCCTTGCACCTGGCGTCGGGTTTGCGGGTGTAGGGTTAAGCGCTTTTACATATACATATGTGTATATATATATACAGAAATATGTAAATATATATATATATATACATATTTATATTTATTTATATATTTATGGGGTGCAAAGCAACGATCCCCAAAACGGCCCAGAGCTGTGAGAGCTTATCATTTCGTCCACATAGGGTTTTAGAATCAGGTTGGGCAGTAAGCAGGGCTGACGCGAGGCAGCCTACACAAGGTGTTGGCGTTGCTTTGGAAAGCAAAGCCTGTCATTTGTCACGTATGTCTGTATGAAAGCTGTGTTCCTCAGGCACTTGGCTTGCTTCTTTCTCTATGCGCACGGCGTGGGAAAAAGGCAATTGAAGCGTCCGAAGCGTTCCAACCCTGATCATGCAAGTCATCTTGTCTTCGTCTTTGCCGGATGCATAGCATGAGATGCGACCTGTTGCTATCTTCAGTGATCAACGGCATGGTTGCCCACGATTTCGATTCATCATATGGGGAAATCGTAAGTGAGGGATAGGGAGGTGTAAGAAGGACTATAGGCCGCTAGTACGGCTTTCTGACGGCTTGTTTACTGAGCGTGCATCGTATGCGTGATGTATTTGAATCGAGAACGACTAACATCATTGTCAGCATTCTCTCTTGTTAGAAGGACTATTGTACTGTTTCTTGTTACAATGAATGTATCTCAACAGTAGCCCTAAACGCTAAACCCTAAACCCTAAACCTAAACCCCTAAACCCCTAAACCCCTAAACCCCTAAACCCTAAACCCTAAACCCTAAACCCTAAACCCTAAACCTAAACCCTAAACCCTAAACCCTAAACCCATCCTTGGCTCTTCCGGTGCACCTCGCCGGCGCGCGCGGCCGCTCCCTCCGAAGTCACGCTCCACTTCGCCGAAAACCCTGGGCTGAGGGACGTAGGGTCATGTAGGGTTTAGGGTTTAGGGTTGAGGGTTTAGGGTTTAGGGTTTAGGGCTTAGGGTTTAGGGTTTGGGGTTTAGGGTTTAGGGTTCAGGGGTTATTCTGAAAATTTTGAAAGAATGGGAACCCTTACAACCGAACATGAAAATAGCAGGAACGGACGTTCCAAAGCACAACTTAGAGGGTTCAGGGTTTAGAGGCTAAAACCCCGAAAAAGGGATGAAAGGGTGTCCAAGACCCCAAACCCTAAACCCTAAAAAGATTGAAAGGGTGTCCAAGAAGCTAGGGTGGCTTGTGGAGAAGTCGCTGCTGCAGTCGGACCACGAGCCACGGACGCCCTCTCCCAGCAGCGTAACATCCGTCAGGGAGTTGAGGTCGACGAAAACCTAAGTCGCGCATGGGTTGGGGGTTCAGTGTTCCTTCTTCTTTTGTTTCTTGAGAATGTTGGGCTTTAATGCCTCACCTTTCCTTAAGTCAAGGGTGAAAGATCTATGGTGTTGGGTTTGAGGTTTTGAGGTTCAGGGTTTAGGAAATACCCTGAACCTAAACCCTAAACCCTAAACCCTAAACCCTATGCGCATCTCAGCAACGGTCTTGCCAGACTTGGCCTGCAGCTGCCAAACACCTTCAAGGCTCCAGCTCTTCAGGGGGAGATCGCTCTCGTAGCCTTGGTAGCCCCAGACAGTGTTTCCGGTGGGTCTAGGGTGTAGGGTGTAGGGTTTAGGGTGTAGGGTTTGGGGTTTAGGGTTTAGGGTTTAGGGTTTATGGGTTTAGGGTTGAGGGTTTAAAAAGGCCAGCACTGGGCTGCCAAGCAACTTCCAGCCTGCCATAAGAATGCAATACACAGCACATCATAATGTGTCTATATATATATATATATATATACATATACATATATATATATGTATATGTATATATATATACACATATATAGACAGATATGCTTTCATAATGACATAACAGAATAAATAGTAGCAATAAACGTAAACGAAACAATACGAAACATATACAACCTTGCTTTACGATTAGAAAAAACTATCTCTGGAATCTCTGGTCACAACCAGAATAACAGTGATGATCGTGATGACATAAGCCTTCATAAAGACATAACAGAATAATTAGGTAGCAATAAAAATACATGAAACATATATCATCCAAGAATAACGGTGACAATAGTGATGACGATTCCAAGCAGCTACCAGACTTGGAGTCTTGGTACCACACGTACATGACAGAAGAATCCGGCGAGCTGGCTGAGGCCGTGCAGGACAGGAACTGCTTCCTGCCTAGGCCATTGCAGGTGTCGATAGCCTCGGTTGCTCAGGGGGGTTTAGGGTTTAGGGTTTAGGGTTTAGGGTTTAGGGTTTAGGGTTTAGGGTTTAGCGTTTAGGGTTGCTCCTTAACTCGCCCAGGTTGCTCAGGGGGGGGGGGGGGTGTTAGGGGGTTGCCCCCTTACACCTCAGCTTGCATAAAATCTGCAGTTGTCGATCACCTAGAGGGCCCTTCAGGGTTTGGGGATTTCGGGGGGTTGCGTGGTTGAGAAGCTTAGGCATGACAAGGGTGCCCTTTTGATTGAGGGGAACACCCCAAAAAAAGAAAGGCGAGGATTGTACTGGGGCATCCGAGTAACGTTATCATAGAAATGGGCCCACGGCGCCTGCGAATTGAGATCCGCCCAGCGCAGCCGCAGCTTGCCTTTTGCAGGCAGCTTCTTGCTGTAGTGCGCAGAGAACCTAGGCCCAAGAGCAACCTAGGAATAAGAAAGGGTGCCCCCTTTTGGTTTCAAGGGGCTGTTAAGGGAACCCATACCACCACAAAAAAACAAAAAAGTGGGAATAGTGGCCGACTCAGAGTCCTAGGAACGTGGGGGTGCCCAGGTACGCTTTCTCAACCATGGCATTGATGCCCAGGATCTGCCCGGACTGGACGCCTTGCTCCTCCAAAGCTTTCACGATGCCCTGGGCAGCACCCGACCAAGTCCGATGGCTTGCCTCCACAAACTCCACCTTGGGGTTTAGGGTTTAGGGTTTAGGGTTTGGGGTTTGGGGTTTAGGGTTTGGGGTTTGGGGTTTGGGGTTTAGGGTTGAGGGTTGAGGGTTGAGGGTTGATGGTTGATAAGCTCCACCTGGGCATTTCCCAAAACAGGGGCTACCCTTTGTTTATACGAATAGAATCCCCTTAAGGAGATCTCCAAAAAGGGCACCCTGTATTTCGGAAACCCCCACCTCCTCCAAATCAGAGTGGCTGTCCTTGTTGAAGAAGATGTAAAAAACTGCCCTGTCGTGGGTGTTGCAGCTGCCCGTCATGGAAATCACATCCTTGCCATTAGCATCCGCGCTGGCTTGTTTGTAGAACTCCGTGAACGACTTGCCGCTGTTCTGGGCTTCGTAGCCAATGTTCAGGGTACCTTTGCTGGGCAAGTTTCGGCAAACATGCGCAGAGAAGATTGCAGCAGTGTTCTCCCCATTGTTGTGCGCGTCGATGCTCAAGACTTGGCCCTTGCACACATCTTCCTCCAACAACTTGGCTATGATACCATCGGCGGCAGCATTCCAAGAGCTGGCTCGATGCTCAAACCACTCCGTATCTTCAAGGCTATCCGGATTTCGACAGCCACTTGAAACCGAATGGTCTGTGAAGAGGTAGGTCACCGATCGACCACCGGCATTGCAACAGGCAGTGAGGCTCACGAACTGGTCTGGAGCTTTGCGGACGCTCGCCATCTGCCAGGAAGCCGTGGTGTACTGGTGGTCCCAACTCGCAGTCGTGTTCCTAAGGGTGAGGAAATAACCCCAGGAGAAGTACATACTTTTGCGGCTCTTCGAAATATGGTAGGACCCAGTTGCAAGAAAATGCAAAAGTGTATACTACCCAAAAATCCAGGGTTCTGGCACCTGTACCTGAGCCTGGGTTTTCCAAATGCCGGCAACGTCGTCGAGTAATGCGCAGAGAAGATGGCAGCCTGGTTTCGGCCATTGTTGTGGGCGTCGATGCTCAGGATCTGGCCGGACTGTACTCCGTTTTCCTGGATAAGGGCCAACGAGCCAAATTCCATAGCTACACACACCTATATCATATACTTCGACATAGACATGATTGCACATATACATATACATGGATATACATATACATATACATCTGCAAACATATATATATATATGTGATGTATATGCGTAGAGAGCACGCCATGCTATACTGCACATGCACAAAGGGTCCTTTCAACCCACTCAAGCCCACGCCGTCGCATCCAGAAAAACTAAACTTATCCTTCGAAACCCCAACACACCCAAAACCCAAACGGAACCCCAACAACACAAGAAACCCCAAACACCCTAAAGCTTCAAGATTCTCTCCTCATGAACCATAACACACAAAAATGCCTTTATCCCAAAAACATACAACCCTAAATTCCTAAAACGATTGAGACCCCAAATCCCCCCCACCTTGAGCTTCTTCAGGATTCCCTCGGCTGCCGCGTTCCAGGAACCTGCTCGGCTCTCAACATACTGCACATTGTCGACTCCGGCATCTCCCTGAGTTGTGTGAGTTTAGGGCAGGCAGCACGCGGAGAAAGAGGACCAATGCAAGGCCCCACCCACTCACCCTAAACACACCAAGCCCCGAAGTGGTGTACGCCCAAGGCATATGACGCAGGTTACCTTCTGGGCCTTGTGCACAACTAGGATTCTATGTGCTTCAGGATTCCTTTCTCTGGCTTCGCCAGGAGCAGCAAAAAGTCAATCGAACTGCAGTTTCCTTTTAGGAATTTGTCCTGGGCTCCTTGAGCAAACCCCATATCTTGCCGAGCTTCACTGCCTGTGTTGAAGAAGACATAGAAAACCGAGCGGTCGGAGGTATTGATGCTTCCAGTCATGGAGATCACATCCTTACCTTCCGCGTGCGCGGAGGCTGCCTTGTAAAAGTAGTCCCAGCCACTCGAGCTATTTTCGGCAGCGTAGCCGATGTCCAACTCACCACGGTCCTGCAGGCTTCTCAGGTAATGCGCGGAGAAGATGGCCTTCTCATCTTCGCCATTGTTGTGTGCGTCGATATTCAGCACCTGGCCCCGACGAACACCGGCTTCTTTCAACTTCTTGATGATCCCATCGGCAGCAGCATTCCATGAGTTCGCGCGGCACTCCAGGTACTCCACGGCACCAGACTGTGCCGAGATCTGCCAGAAGGCATACATCACCCGCTTGTTCATGTTGCAGGAGCCCGTGATGCCTACCAGGTTGTCCTTTTGAACTACTTCGACTGACTTGGCCATCCCTCCATACATCTCCTCCCAGGGCACCGCGCTGTTCAAGCTTGCGTACGTCAGCTTCAGGTCGCCCCTCGGAAGCCGCCCTCGGCAGAAGAAGGCTGAGAACATGGCCGCTTCGTTGGGGCCGTTGTTGTGGGCGTCGATGTTGATGAGCTGCCCATCCTTGACACCCGCCTCAGAAAGCATCTTGATGAGACCCTTGGCTGCACCATTCCATGAGCCGGCTCGACACTCGATGTACTCAACCTTCGTATGGTTCGCAGGGGACTCCACGTTGTAGAAGACGTAGAAGGCAGAAGTGCCGCCGGCCTCACAGGACCCGGTCATGGAGATGACATCCTTACCTCTGGCGTCCTCACTTGCCTTGCGGTAGATCTGGGCCCAGGAATCCGTGATGCCGGCCCGGCCAAAGAAATCCAACTTCAAAGGCCCATCATCCGGCAAGCCCTTGGCGTAGTGTGCTGACATCATCGGAGAAGCGCCGTCGCTGTGGGCATCGATGGACAGTATCTGCCCCTTGCGGACATCCTTCTCCAAGAGCTTCTCAACGATCCCCCAAGCTGCCTCGTCCCAGCCAGCGGTGCCTTCGGCCTTCACTTCACACTGGACGAAGCTGCTCGGCCCTACCCCCTCACCCTCCACGCTGGCTAAGACCCGCCGTCGCCGGGAGAGGCCAACCTCCGCATGCAGCTTGGCCACAGAGGCCATGGCCAGTCGAAGGGTTTAGGGCTTAGGGCTTAGGGTTTACGATTTAGGGTTTAGGGTTTAGGAGGAAGTAAGGAGCAAACAACTAGGAACAATCCATTCAAACCCTGCTACTGAACTATGAGTCCGATGGGAATCATGATCCGTCATGACATAACGAACAGCAGCTGATGGCACCTACACTATAGAGATCCCCAGCCGTGGCACAGGACCCCGCAGGCCCTACGCTGAAGGCTCCACGGAAAACAATGAGCTTGCGGTTTGGGGTTTCGGGTTTTGGATTTAGGGTTTAGGGTTGAGTAGGGTTTAGGGCTTAGGGTTTGGGATTTAGGGCTGGGGTTTGGGCTTGTCGGGGGCTTGGCATCACGCATGTGGTCTTGGGGAGTCCGGCAATATCGCCTGGGGGGGAGTGTCAAAGTCTAGTCCACTTGGCGACTGGCGGCATGGCATTGAAACATGGGCGCTTCCGAAATTGAGGGGGGGGGCGTATTGATTAAGAGGGAGGGTCGATGATTGGAGTCCCTCATTCTCGTAAACCTGAAAAAAATCAAGGCAGCAAACTGGGATGCCAGCGTTGACTGAACATGAAGCAGGCTAAGCGGCAATCCGTCCGTTCCTATTGGACTTTTGCAATCAGGAACATGTTGCGTTGCGCATGTTTGGGGCTTAGGTGCACGCAAAAGGCCTGTCCTTGGGCCCGTAAACCCTAATCCCTTAGCTCTCAACCCTACAGCGCCTGAGAGACTACAACATGAATTCCAAGCCCTCATGCGAACTCAGAGTTATGATCAGGCTGCCTTGCATCCCTATCAGCTTGATCCACAAGACCCCAAACCCTGAAACCCTAAACAGGACTCTAGGAGCTGGGGCTAAGGGTTGAAGATTTGGGGTCTGGTGTCCTGTGCTTTGGATAGTGGGTGCTGGGCATCGGGTCTTGGGATTAAGGCCTTGCAACAGACTCCTTCTTTTTCCGTGCTGGCCGTCAGCCCCTCAAGTCCCAGATCCCCTGGCCAAGTACAAGGCGAGAATGCCGGAATACGTGATGCTCACAGCGCTTCGCTCCGACCTGAGCTCGGACTGAATCAGTCCGGCTGTCAAGGCGCACTCGGCACGATGATCCCAGCGGGCCCTCGGCGCGGCGAAATGCTGTGACGCCTCGAGGGGGGCGAATCGGGGGAATGAAGCTCAGGGTCATGGAGCATCCATGGCAGTTTGAAAACTCAGCCGGGAGCACACATGCCGCTCCGCCAGGTGGGCAGGCAGCCAAGGCAACGCAGGGCATCTGGACCACTGCGCAGGCCGAAGTTCAGGCAAGTGCCGCGGGTAGGGAGGCTTATGGAGGCCGCTCCTGGAGAAGCAGCCAAGGCCGCCCAAAGGCCCGAAGACTTTAGTTCATCACGGGCACGCACCAATTCACGTGCCGCCAGTGTTTGGCACACGGCGCCTGAGCCTCAGAGCATCGACAGTTTCATGTCTGCTTGGCTTTGGGGATATCACCCAAACACTGGGATTGGGCTACAAGTAGCATGGCTTCGGGCTCCGACAGGCGCTGCCAGGGAACTGAGTCTGCAAGCTCTACTCCGTCAGGCAAAGAAAATGCTGCCTTGCCCCGGTTGGCCGTGCATTCCAACCTTGTCTCGAACCTAACACAGACCGTGAAAGGAGGCTGAGGCGGCCTCTACTTGCTGAGTTACCCAGGCCATGCCAAGCACAGCAGCTGAGGGTTGTTCAGAAAAGCTCTTTAAAACCCTAACTAAAATCTCAAGCGTCCAAGCCTCGCCTCTACCCCAAGAGCCCGGTATCCTCGGCCAAAGGAGCGGTGGAAAGAGACCTCATCAAGCAAGTACCTATGTGTTGCAACAAGCCAAAGGCTTGTGGAGTGTCTGACTTAAACAGCACAAGAGGTGCTTTTCTCTTCTCACAGGTTTAAAGGAGACTGGGCGAACAAGGACACCGCATCCCCGTGCGAGCGCAATGTATCCAGCTGTTCCTTTCTTTCTTCCTTGGCAACCATCCTCTGGTGGCTCGATTGAATCGGCGTTGTCTCTGGACAACTCTGGACTTTTTGAAGGGTCGCATCTGCACAGCACAGGAATGGGCTAGCGGCCGGAGCACTTCGGATCTAATCCCGAATCACGAGCCGCTCACCACGTCCACGCCATGCATGTGGAAGGCCCATAGGATTTTCGGGTGCATGTTACAGCATGCAAACGCTGACTAATACCATGCCAAAGCGGGGACTGCGATGTCCGCTTTGAGATCGCGCTACCTTCCCTACTTCTGAGGGCGGCGCGAGGACAAAACAACACAAGGGGAGTGCAACACCTAATACGCGCAGACATGCTCATAAGCACCCCTTGACACAAGCAAGCACATGCGTGTGAGCCATTGCGGAGCTCTGCGAGAGAACGCGTAACCTAGATCTCAGGGTGGCGCGAAGGCAACCCAGCACTATGGGAGTGCAACAAGTGTAGACATTCTCAGAGGCCTGCCGTGGCAGTGTGTGCCCATGCTCGAGAAAACTCCTCGAGAAAAATGGGTCACAGAGAAGCCGTATACAGGCTGGCCGGACTTAAGGGGTTTGCGAGGTGCTGCACGTTGCCAGCAGTCTCTGGCATCCGGCGGAGCACGGCCCTGGTATTCTCGCGGCCTCTTTCGAGGCACCAGCGCCAGAGTCGCTAGAGTTGCCGCCAGCTGCCAGTTCGCCTCCACAACCATAGAAAGGAACTGCAGGCCTTGCATGGTGTGCACAGCCTTGGTGTCCTTGTGAGCACATTTGCAGAGCTCACAGTCCGCCGCTGGGCGGTCTGTGGCCGCAGCAGCTGCTCCGTGTTGGCCCCTGTGTCGGCTCACGTAGTATACAGGTGGCGGTTCTGCAGTGCGTTAGCCTCTGGCACTTGAGTATTCCTATACCATGTCGGCCAGAGCTGGCAATGGGACGGTCTTCTCCCCTGGGGCTACCGCAAGCGCCGACCTGACAAAGCGTCATGAATCAGGCGCACACGCCACGATACAAGTTCATCTGCCTTGCGGAACTTTGGACAGATTCCCCTCCCATGCCCTCCCCCAGCATGACCAACACCGTCTTGACTGCAGCAATGCCTGCATCGGAGCAAAGCCGAGGGGCAAATCCAGCATGCGCACGGTCTGCACGCAGCGGTCATCGGGCAAGGTCAAAGGCAACACCTCAAAGCTTGCCAACCTCGCTCAATGACCATTCTACGATGTCTTCGCCGAGCAGGCGCTGCGGCCATCGACCACCACGCTCAAATCAGTCTGGAGAGCGAAGCCTGGGGCAGCAGCGTGTGCTTGCAATGAAGGGGCATTTGTAATGCTCGCGATGCGAATGCACGCACACGACGGGACTCCCGGGTCACCTTCCATGACCCTGAAGTTTCAACGGCGCAACAGTTCAAGAAGATGGCACAACACTGCAAGGGGCAAGCTCAGGGGCTGCTCTGAGCCCTGATGCCGGGTGCAAGGGAAGCCCGAGGAACGTCTAGGAAGCCTCCAAGAAGGCAAGCAGCTGGCGCAGAGTGTAAAGCAGGCTCTGGATGTGCACGGTCGCACGCACGCATCCGGCAACGGCCAGTTGCTCGACGTGTTCGAAACCATTGTTCAAGTTCTTCATGAATGGGGCCTTTAGCTTGGGGAGTCAAACTCGCAGAGTCTTTTGTAAACAAGGGCCCACGCCTTCGCCGTTTGACAAGCCTGTCACCTCCACTCTTGGGCAGTGTATACAAAGAGCTTCACACACAACTAACTCATTTGTATTAAAGGAAAACATCGGAGCACTTCCGCTCCAACTTCAAAGCGCTGATGTCTGCTATGCAAGTTCCTCCTCCAAATCTCGCACGAACTGCTGCGCGGAACTTTGAACAGATTCCCCCGGCTCCCTTTCTGCACATGAGCAAGACCGTCTTGACGGCAGAACCTCTTGCATCGCAACTTTCGGAGCAAAGCCGAGGCTCAAATCCAGCAGGCGCACGGTGTGCAAGCAGCTTGCCAACCTCGCGCAAAGACCATTCTACGATGCCTTCGTCGGGCAGGCACTGCGGCCTTCGACCGCCACACGAAGATCATGAGTTCATGGCAGTTCTGACAGGGTCTGGAGGGCACGGCCGACGACAGCAGCCTGTGCATGCCAAGAAGGGGCAAGCTAAATGGCCAGACGTCTGAGCTTCGGTGCTGCTGGGTGCATGTGGAGTCCAAGCCTCGTCCAAGAAGCCTCCAAGATGGCAGCTTCACTCTGGGCAGGCTTGCACCTCAGCGAGACATGATGACTTCTTGGAGCATCTACCTTAAAAGGAGTTATAAACTTGCCCACAGCTGCCGCAGGGTGTTGGGTGCCGGAGGCGTGGCCATCTTGCCGGCACGAGAGGCCTTGAAGGCCCCCCCCCAGGAGGAGGGGCGCCTTCACGGTTCCCGCCGAATTCTCCAACCTGAAGGGGAGGGCTCATAGGCCAACGGCAGCTTCAGCAGCTTCGGCAACTTCAGCAGCTCAGCCCGTGGAAGGAAAGGGGGAAGAGTTGGCGCAGAAGTCGGCTTCGCCTTTCTCTGAACGCAGACTCTTGCCCCAGAGTGCCGAGGAGCCTGAATCTTAAAGCCTCAGCCGCAACCCCCTGAGCAGAGCAGCGGGCAAGTGCCACATGCGCATCTCATGGCTTGAGGCGCATGCCTCAGGCCAATCGTGACATGCTTAGCAGTATCTGTGTCGCGGCTCCGAGAGGAGTGCAGAAGGCCGACTTGGAACTTGTGCTGTGTTTGCTTATGGGAGGTCGGGCTGGCAGCTCTCACACACGGGGAGGCGCCCAAAATACGGCGAAGGCCCGGGTCCGCGGATGGCCGCGTCAAACCGACACAGGTGCCAATGCAAGCCGGTACAGAAACTTAGGGATTCAGAGGCGACGTGCGCATGGCACATATGGCACCCATTCTAACCTTCGGCTCGCTAGTGGCGCAACACTGGCGACAACAAGGCATCTGCCTAAACAAAGCTTTCA